GAAATGACTGGGATCTGGATGAAACAAAACAAAAGGGCAAAAAATTCTCATCGGTCATTGCTGCTGAGAAACGTGAATTAGATGGTTGAACAGGTGGTTGAGAAGCCAAAGTTTATAGATAGAAACTTTTAAAAGCTGCTCATGTATGTACTAAGTAGTATTTTTGTTTGTTCCAATTCAAACCATGAAAATTCACATGCCAGGCAGTTGCCACAGAACAGCATGCAGTCACACCCTGAACAAACTCAAGCTGAATTATCAACAAAGTGCAACAGAACATTGATGCATAAACAGGCTGCAAAACCCATTTCACTAGCTAAATGTCTATGATCATTGATGCTGGGCCTAATGATTTTAAGGAACGATTAATCCAATGGAGTGCATAACAGTATCAAGATCCTACTTAGGCTGTTCCATTTTGAACATGAAGAATTTTCTATGGGTTTCATCCCTAAATTACAAATGCATTTAGGTACTCCATGAAAATTACTCTTACTACAGCTACTTAATCATAACCTTTCACCAACGAATGAAGCCCATTTCACAAGCCCACATCGAAGTGTAATGGATTTTTAACGCTGAGCCATGTTGTAATAAAAGAGCTTAAGCTTAGTTTCCCAGGTAGTTCCACTTCCTGCATGTATTGATTCTGTTCCCATTTGTTCATGGGTTTCATCCCAAAAATTCTTCCTGACCAAAGCTTGAGATGCTTTTGCTCCAAAAAACAGTAGTTTCAACTACTATATGAAATCAGTGAGAGTACTGCTGTCTCTCTCTCCAATTTAATTTGATGTCGTGTTTTTCAATTTAAGCACCTAGAAGAAAGCTATCTCAACCAGAATCCTACCTTTATGCTCTTTGAACAATAACATGTTTGCTAGTTAAAACTAAATAAATAAAATAGGCCTATGACCAAAGAGACAAAATCTGGATCTGTATGCTGAGAAAGGAACCCGAAAAAAAAATTCCCTTAGACACTTACCCCAGTCAGTGGAGTCCAACCATAAAAAAATCCATGTTTCCTGATGGCTTCTCCATCTGGAGACTTAAAAGTACTAGCAAGTAGACACAGGCATCCCACAACAGACATTTCTACTGTCATCAAGTCTATCTCAACCAGAATCCTACCTTTATGCTCTTTGAACAATAACATGTTTGCTAGTTAAAACTAATTAAATAAAATAGGCCTATGACCAAAGAGACAATATCTGGATCTGTATGCTGAGAAAGGAACCTGAAAAAAAAATTCCCTTAGACACTTACCACAGTCAGTGGAGTCCAACCATAAAAAAATCCATGTTTCCTGATGGCTTCTCCATCCGGAGACTTAAAAGTACTAGCAAGTAGACATAGGCATCCCACAACAGACATTTCTACTGTCATCAAGTACGACGAGTGCTTCTTGATCTGCAAAAAGGGAAAATGTGCAGCACAAAAGTAATAGTCATTGTGCAAAATCTTCAATGCAACTCATGACAGGTGACTGGATGTGTTTCCTATTACCTGAGAAGCCCATTGACACAGAGAAGAAGCCAGACCTGATAGCACAGAAGCTACCAGAACAGGAATAATCCCGTAAAAGAAAGTCTGGTCAGGGTTTCCACCACTAGATCCTTTGCTAGAACCTTCACCAATGCTTAAAAGAATGGCTGCGATTATCAATAACAAGAGGGCTCCTATCTGCCGGATTGATTGCTTTTGCCTACAAATGTGGCACCAAATATTGCTTTAGAAGAGTGGTCAGAAAAAATCAGGAATTCTAAATTTTTGAACAAGTTCTTTGTAACATTACTTGCTCCATCACTGTTATATGTGCATGTCCATATGTGAAGAGAGAGAGAGAGACAGAGAGAGACAGAGAGAGAAAGAGAAAGAGACAGAGACAGAGACAGAGAGAGACAGAGAGATAGAGACAGAGACAGAGACAGAGACGGAGGGAGGGAGGGAGGGAGAGAGGGAGGGATTCGTTTTTCAGTAAAAATTAGGAGCACTAAATTTATGTAAAGTACAAACGTAATACAATCTAGAATAACTAGATTTTCCCACAAAATTTAACCCCCATTTCGGCATGCTTAAAATATTTTGGTTGGAACCTGAAGAAGAAATCAAAGGCTCTTTGCCAACATACAAACATTCATTCTTGTCTGGCAAAACGTTCAATGTGATGCTCCAAAAGGCGCATAAAGTAATGGTGTTCAACAGCTAGGGCTATACAAACAGTCAATAAATATGGATAACCAGTTCAGGAAGATAGTATAATCATACACAAGAATTTTTTTCCAAAAACTAAAGATAAAGAGGGGTTAAGCAACAAACCTTAGGATGATATACATAAAGAAAGCAGTAAAAAAGATTTTGGTCTGGTTCAGCATTGAGAATGTTAGCGAATCGAGATTTTTGTAGGAAATCTGAAGTAAGCTATTCTGCAGTGCGTAAATAGCAGCAGGAAGTCCTGATGCAATCAGAGAATCGACCAAAGTCCACTGCTGGGAGAGTTTCTTCAGAGTACCTTCTTTTGCCATAAAAAAGACGGCAAAGACAACCTGAAAAATGAACAGAAGAGTTTCATTCTTCTCTCGAAGTGAATTGAAATAAATGGAATGAATAGTGAATGTAATGTGAAATGTGTAAGTATACAAAGAATGAGAGAAAAAAGGTGCTTACTTTTGCTACCTCACATGTCAAAACAGAGGTAGTTACAATGACTTCACGCCTGCAAAAAAAGATAAGATGAATTCAATGACTGGAGAAATGACGGAAGATCAGAGACTCCACTTTAGATGTACCGACAAAGGAGTTCACCAAGAAGGAACAAAACATTGCAATACAATCTCCATAGTTTGCAACAAATAGACAGATTTCAGGATCAAAGTTGGAAACACTCTCTGACAAGTGTCAATGTGTCATAACATATAATGAGGGACAATGATTTTTGGTCCTTAGCAAGAATTGAGAAGGCGCAAAGGATAATATCTCGACTCAATTATGAATATGATGCTTGAAGACTTTGACCTCCCCGAAACCTGTATTGTGTCATTATGACATCATTATAGTTAATCACATCAATGTACTAACAGCCATTACATGTTCATGCATAATCACTTCCCTTAAATAGGACCAATCATTCACAATAAACAATCCAAGATGGCTAGGGCTCCATTGTCCAGTTTCCTCAGAAGCATAAAAAAATTCAAGTGAAAAAAGGAACCATAACAACTATGCCCAGCGAAGAGCCAACTCCCATTTTAACTGTAGAGCCGCATAGAGAAAGAAGCACCTCTCCTATCTCCAAAAGCAACACTAATAAACATTAACGTTATGGCTCGGCCTCCCCAAAAGAAAAATTTGACTATGGCCTCAGTTTTTATGCTTCAAAGAGGTCTAGTCTAATAGGCAATTTGACAGAGCAAATAACCCACCTCTGATTTACTGACCCTGCTAAAGCTCTTCACATACTGATTACAGCTTAGCACATGATTTTCCAGTGATCATTACTTACAAACTAAATGAGGGTACCGACCCAAGAATCCCAACGTGCACCAACATAAGAAAAATCAACATTTTCCACCAAAAGAGCAAAAATCAAGAACAAAAGCAAAGCACCCACTATCGTTCAAGAATCGAAATTCCCAAGAAACAACTCACAACCTATCACCCTCGGATCAACTAACAACGTCGAAAAGGCCCCGTACAACCCCACACCCAGAAAGCGAAATCCGCAAATTCGACCCACGGATCAAACCCGCAAGCGAAGCACTTGAAGTCAGGAAGCAGCCCACCTGATGAACCACCTGGAGATCAGAGGTTGCAAGCCGTACTGGAGGGTGAGCAAGAGCGAGTAGAGCCAAATTCTTGCGCTGTTGGCGCTCGAATTCTTCGCGGACTGCGTCGATTTCGGGGAGGTCGCCATTCGGGAAAAAGGAGCCTCCTTTTTTTGCCCTTGGGTTGGCGACCCCTTCCGACCGATTATCGTTTGTGTCCAAGCAAGAGGAAGAACCAGCGCCAATCTTGTGGATTTGTCGTTGGTTATATTACAAGGAAAGAATCTAAAAACCTTGAACCATCGGTCAAGTCTCACACCTCACTTCCTTTTTTCTTTTCTCATATATTAACAATTACAATTTAAATGTATTATTATTTGATCAAGTCTCACACCTCACTTCCTTTTTTCTTTTCTCATATATTAACAATTACAATTTAAATGTATTATAATTTGATCGGATAACACAAGTGAGTGTTACGAGCCCTTATAAAACATCGCCGATGACACAAATGGTCCACGTACTTTGACCTAATGTGTAATGTGGTCCTCAAATTTTTAATTTATCAACAATATAATTCATGAACTTTAACTCAATATCCTTGAACTTTTAATACATATTCTATCTAGTCTATAAACTTGATTGGAAGAATGACATTGAATATTTCCATGTAGTGCAAAGATTAATTTGAACATGTATAAAAAATTTAGGGACCACGTTGAACAAGTTAAAAAATCAGGTATGACGTTACACGTTAAGTTAAAGTTTATGAACCACATTGTACATTTAGCTTAAAGCTCAAATAATATTTGTGTCATTATCCCTTTCTATTAGTGATATGCTGTCACTACTTCTAGAGCCACATACTTTCTTCCAAAAAGTAATTTTGTAGCGAGGTCTTTCCATTGGTATTAATATTACTAATTTTGATGATTCTACACAATAATTTTTTTTTTGACAATATCGTGGACAAACTCAAAGTCAAGAACATTCCTGATTTACAAACAAAGACATTCAGATTTAGCAACTCATTTTTATCGCTTAATTTATTTATTTTCTCTGTAAAAAGATGGGAAGAGACTTCTGGCGTAGCAATTCTATCGAACATCACTATAGAAATTTCACTATTAAGCTCGCACCAAGTGTACATTAGACCTTGTTCATAATATCCACATCGATTTTAGATTAAGTGAAGATTTTGTGGAAGTGAAAGGGAAAAGGAAATGAGCTAGTCTTGCATTGATTTGAACAATCCAAGCTGCTTAGATTATATTTACAGATATGAGACAAAAGAGAGAAAAACATGATGCCTGACTCTGAGTTTTGGTGCACTCCTGCTATACACGGGGTAAGATGCAAAACATGTATGAGGACTATACAACAGGTAGAAACAAGGGTTAGTAGGTGCAAAACAACATTCCCTCAAAATGGACTGGATGTGTGATCATCCCAACCCTTACAAAAGACCCACATGGGACTCAGGGCGATCGGTCATTGTGATCACGTTCAGTGGTGCACCGGGTCTAGGCAAGTATTTCATCATCCGGTGCCAGTGATAATATACACAATCAGATGTAATCAGTGCTCCCCAACCATTATCGGAAAGTTCAGATCGTGATTCACAAGGTTACCATCGGCAAATGCCAGGGGACTCTGTTCGGCTAAGAGCGAGCATCTCTTCGTACTTGGAAGTATATACGAAGCCCCACAACTGCAAAACATAGGAGCAAATGAACGTAAGGAGGCCAAATAAGCTAAATTTTATGAACAATGCTAGGTATAGTAAGACTAATTATAAAAATTATATTGATAAGTCTTAGTATGTTTAGCATTACTTAAAATTCGTTTTATACCCTTTTCAAATCACACTAGCACACATGTCATAGAGCTTGCCTACCTCAATTTCCTTTACTTCAAAGTCTTGAGAGCCGGCAAGACAAGGATTCCCATATGTTTCCGAGACTGAGCTCGATCCAATTAACCTAAACAAAAATGAACAATAATTAGCTATTGATCATTGGGTAATCTTACATGTCACCAACTTCTCTATAGTGCTTAGTTCTCTTATAAAGGAAAGTAACAAGACATAAAATAAAAGAAAACTTGGAGAGTACAGAGAGGGGAAAAGAAAATGATACGGAGCAAGGGAAGAAGTCTCACAGATCGCCATCCAAATAGATTGCAAAGTGGCCGCCCCCACCAATCGCTAAAAAGTCAGATGAGCACAGAGTGTAATACCGATTGGCCCCTGTTTATATGCAGTTGTCAGGTTGCATGCACCTTGGCAACTGTGCGTTTCTAACCATTGTCGCCAGGAAGGAAATATACAGGAGAGGAACAAAACATGGTAGGGCAAACTAAACTAGCGCTTGAAGGCAGGAAACATAACATGGTTAACAATTCCATTCACAACCACCTCTATCCAAGGAGACATGCACAACTATTGCTACTTCATTATAGACATCAATTTAGAGAGAGAGAGAGAGTAGGAATTGAAAGAACCAGATTTTAGGAATTGATATCTTTTTCTAATTCTTGAAATTGGCACCTAATTTTGGGCAAGCTATACTGTGTTTGAGAGCTAGGGTGTCTAGATATACTTTTACTTTTCGCTTATTCCAAATCGTGCAGCGTTCGCACTTTGACTTTCTTTTAAAGTACTAAACACCCGAAACTTTCATAATATACAAACGTTGGTACGTAAATTCCCATATAATTTTTTCATAATTTTTAGAAATTTGGATCATATTCTATATTTTGGCTGAAAAACCTGAAAGTACTTTCTACTTAATTCTAAACAAACAAGCCCTCAGTCTGAAAGGACACGTGATGATTCAATTTGGTCCCCAATTTCGGTCAATGAGCCTCTGGTTCATGGTTCACGCATCGATGTAACGACAATGAATACAACAAATTGTTTGTTATTCGAAGTTAATTAGTTTCTATTGCTGAATTAAGAATTCTAGTATGAAAGTACGCGACCATAGTCAAGCACAAGCTAATGTGGCATAAAAACTCGTCAATGGTAAATGATTAATTTTGATGCAAACAAATTAGAGCCATCGAAAGTTTGACGAAATAAATTCCTAGATGGAAAGGAACAGGAGAAATTAGTACCTGTAGGGCGGTATATAACTGGATGGCCAGGTGTGTCTGTGAAAACAAAAGTGCTATTCGTTCCCTGTTGAAAATCTAGGGTGAATAATTATCTATGTTGGAGAAAATTTCAAACAAGGAAACTCATGAATGCCCACCTGATATTTTCTCTTATTGTTTGGTCTAAGTGGTGCCTCCACTAAGCTGCCAAATACTGCACCTTTACGGTCTCCAACTACCTGGGCGAGCATTTGCAGGTCCATAAGAGTTCTTTCAAGAAACATACAAAGAGAGAGAGAATAAAGCATCAAGGAGACCAATTATATGGTTATTGTCAAAATTGCAGTTCAAAGTTATAAAGTGAAGCAAAAGAGGACTTATCATCTCAAACAAACCTAATAGAGCTCACATGCATGAGAACTCACATTCTCAGGTTGCTCAACAAAAAAACTGTTTGAGACATTGGAAGTACTTGTATCTGAGAAACTACAAGTAGAGAGAATTGTCAGTAGCAGTTCATGCTTTAATTTTTGGTCCACTGATTGTGATTTGATGTGCTCTTGTGGATTGGCTATTTAAGGAGTTTGACAATATGTCCAACCTCCATAATGACTGAGAAAAGAGTCTTGAATGATGAGCTTATTTTTATTGACATAAAATCAGGGTCTTAAAAACTCTTGAAGCCATAAAAAAAAGTACTTATCAGGTGCTTCATAAAAGCCAAGCAAAAAATCACCATAGCTAACTATAGTGATGACATCTAATTTGCATGTGTGTCACCAAGCAAAAAGGGTTCTTTGGTATGCTGAAGTATGTGACTAACTCTTGTACTCATGCTCTTCAGAGGCAAAGACATGAAGAGTATCAACTCATTTCTAAACAGAAAGTAGTAAAATTTTACCAGCAAGCTGAGTCCAGGCCAAAGCATGCTTCTCCTATACAAAGTAGAAAGTGATATGCCATGCCTCCATGTACTGCAAAGTTATGACACATAAATTTAAGAGCGCTTCTTTAATAAGATGAAGTGAGATACCAGTTACAGAAAGATGCAAAACTGAAGCAAATATGGCCATACCTGTACAGCAACAACCACTTTCTCCCCTGAACAAGTGCAGGAAGTGACGTATAAAGTACACTACGTGTTTTCTCTGAAAGCAGCAATGAAGGTTCTGACATATCTGGAACATCAGTCAGAGCCACAGGCTCTGTCTCATCCTGCAATTGCCTCATCTCAACTCCAGGAACCATAACTTCATTTACATCGCTATCGCCTTTCTGTTCTTGATTCCGGTACCCAGCAATCTTTGCTGCCTGGTTAAAAGCTTTACCCAATGATTGCTTCCCTCTAGAGAACAAGCTTTTCTTGCCACCACTTTCCTTCCTAGGCACGTCAGATGCTTCTTTCGATGCAGCAACCACTTCACCGTTTACTTGCTCATTATCATTTTTCCCTTCAACATTGGGATCGTCTCCAGGCTCAGATGATGTCAAGAGAGAGTAAAGAAATGCTGTGAAAGACGATGTATCGGGACCATCGACTAAATCTTCCGAGCCCTCTTCTCTGATTGAATCTAGTTGGCTTCTTCTAGAGTCACTTTCATTATCCTATAAAAACAGGCAATTATGAGCAGCTGCTGTTAATGTAATCTTTAAACAGCAAAAGCCACCATAAACACCAGAAGTAAAGGAAAACTGCTGTTTAATGCAGATGTTGAGTAATGCCAAATTATCTCTTAACTAGGTTTTAAAATCCCTTCTTACATTATCTTGAGCATGTAAATATCAGAGAGTCAGCAATTTCTGACCAAATAAATTCATTGGCATGCAATAGTACCATAGAAAACCTCTACGATTTAGCTTTCCAGGTGTCTCAACACGGAATCGTGTAGCTGTTATCTAGTTTGAGTAACTCTATATAAACCATCACAATCTTGGTTATTCACGACAAAACACAATCAGCACAGCAGGAGCAGGTATATTTGAGTTGACAGAAATAAGAAAAAGATGATCTTGCCTATCTACAGAATCTTCAGAACCATCTATCGGGCTTTGTATTGCGCGTAACATGCATTTTCCTATTAAATAGCGAGCAAATTGCGAGGGCAATTTAGCAACTGAGCTGACAACATATCATCCCAAAATATCTTCACCAATTTTTCTTACGGTCTTCTACTACACACAGACACCGAACGAGCGAATACAGTACAGAAACTCCGTAGATGGAGTGTTTTCAGCCAGCAGTTCCTAGCTAAGCTTTGACTTCTAATTGCACGACCCATCAGCAGTAACAAGTGCCGTAATTCAGATGCAATCGATATCGAGTCACATGGAAGCGCGGAATTCACCCCCGGACCATCAAGAAAATTCAAGCCGACGAACCATGAATCACGAAAGAGAAAAACTTCAAGCTCTAGAGCAAACATAACCCTGTAAAGAAACCTCAGCAATGGACGTTTGACGGACTCCGAAAAGGAGGGTCAATTCAACAATGGAGCCCAAAAACAGAAACTCAAAACAAGAAGGCCCATAAAAGAAAAAGAAAAGCTTCAAGAAAGCAGCTGAGGGAGGGGAGACTCACGGGAGATTGAGAGGGAGGAGATGGCTTGGAGGAGGGTTTGTCAGAGATTGGGTTGAGAAGAACAGTGGTGAGATCAGAGACGAAGTGGGCAGCTTTACTCCTGAGCGATCGTTGCCTACCCATTTTCAGGACAGACCGAATCACCCCCGCCGCATATATTAGTCCGAGAATAACACGATGCACTGAACTCCCCCCACGAAGATATTCCCCACTACCCAGAAAAGCAAGAAAACCCAAGAAGCATCAAATCGAAAGTGGGAGGATTCCTTCTCGACTTTCTTCTCCTCCCCCCACACTTCAGCTCGCTTTCTTTCCTTCGTTTCTTTCTCCCCTCTTGACTTCTGCTGACCTCCAAAAAACCAAGAAAAGAAAGATCTTTTGTCCCCGGTTTCAGGTCGCCATGGATATAGGGAGCAAGAAGAAGGAGGGCATTCGAGTTTCCATGTTGCGACTCGGGTGGGCGCCGCTGATCGGTTCGCATTTCACTGTCAATGCGTTTTCTTCGAGGACCGAGTGATTGGAACGCACGCAAGCCGTTCGGTAAAAGGCCAAAAGCTACTCTCGGATAAAAACCAACACACGGCCCTCGCTCTAACCGAGCTAATAGATTTTCTAGGCCCCACGATCGGGTCGGCCCAACCCAACATCAGGCTTAAGGCTACTTTGGAGAGATGAGCAACACAGACCGATCGAACCTAAAACTACCCAGACCGGACCAGACTGGCCAAGGACATTGGTCTAGTGTTCAGTTCCATAAAATTGGAATTAGTGATTTTTGGTCCGGTCCTCGATTCCAGAGGGAACCGGATCGACTTGACCGGACCAATAATTTTTTATTTATTTCCCTTCCCTTCTCACTTGTCCCACTCTCCTCTCATCCTAGTCCGGATGCGGTGTCAACTGATTTCTTTGGTAGTTTCTTATCTCTAGCTTCCATGAGTAGAGCTCGATAGCCTCAATCTTGTTCGCTGCTTCCCTGCCTCCCCCTTGAAAGAAAACTCAAAAGTTGAACTTTGCCTCCTGGCTCCTTTAATTCATAGGCTTTCTTTTTTTTCTTCCCCAAATTGTCCAGAAGTGTTCATAGCGATCGAATTGAAACTGGAACATTAATCTAGAAGGTCAAAAATTTACTTGTCATCCTTAGCAAATCTCAGTTATCATATGATAATTCTCAGATATGGCTAAGTGTTCACTAGACGGGCTCTTATTGTTTTATGCCTAGGAATTATGGAACTGCCTAGTAACCAGATTAGACCGGTCCTAGGACCAGGCGGTCCAGTCCCAGTTATAGAATTGGGAACCGATCCTTTTGGTCCGGTTCCGGTTTCTTGGTGGGATTGGACCGGATTGAGAACCGATCACTCCTATTTTGGAGAGCACCCTAGTGATGAAAATGCAAGGAAAAGGTATAAAAATCAGTGTTTGTTTGAATTAAAGAATTTTCTACGAATTAGTTTTTCGGACTTTCACATATTTGGTTTGTTGAAAATAATTACCTTATAGAAAATCATTCACGGTCAAAAAACATATTCATGCTTTGTAAAATAAGGAAAACGAATTCTCTAAGGAAAAAAGGGGAAAATATTTTCCTTCAAAATGATTTACTTGGATAGTATTTTTTTTTATCGCGAAATTTTCCTTGCAGTAAACACGTCCTTAGGAGAAGAAAATTTTAACTTGTTCAAAGTTATTCGCTCAAATTTTTATGACCCCATTTTCTAAACATAGCCTAAGGGGAAGAAAAAAGCAGTCATAATTTACCTTGAAGGTAAAATGTTCATTGGGGGTTACTATGGATGTTCACCTATAGTATTGTACAAAGTAAAGAGCTTTTTCTACTTTTAACAGAACCCACTTGTTTTTTTTTCCACAAATATCCTCAGTTAATTGTCTCATAAGTATTCTATTCATAAACAATTGTATCAATTCATAATTTTATTTTATCTCTCACGTACTTCAATATTCAAATTTGAATTTTTTCCATCCCACCAACACATTCTAAAAAAAAAAATCTATCGATATATTTTTCTCTTTCCACGTATATTAATTCATTTTCTCTGTATTGTGTGTATTTATTAATAACTTATTTCTCCTTCCTAATTTATTTGTTTTTTTATGTCAAAATACGATTTCTTATTATATCACAAACTGGACTTAGCCAGCAGGGCCCAAACAGGGGCGTCATTACATAGCAATGCCCAAAGGGCCTGAGGAGGAACAGAGCCAGTCAGATGGAAGACATTTCTTTCTATGAGCCCGTGCTATCAACCACAGAATTTGCAGTTCTTGGACAAAAATCCAGGCCCACGCCCTGTACCCTTGAAAGTAGACAGGAGCATTCCGTTATAAGGGCCCTTACTTCCCAGCTGATCTGCTCTCCCTGATTCAGTGCGCTTATCAGTTCTATACGGTCCGACTCCAGTTCCACTCTTTTCAACTTTGTTCTGTTCAACGTACTTGAGGGCGGCAAGAAGAGCTAGGGTTTCGATTCGTGCCGGGAGGATGCTCGGATGTTCTGGATGAATCCATCAACAAGGCGGCCGGATTTTCATCGACAAATGAAAGCTATCGCACCGTTCGTTAATCCTTCACGAAAAGACCCATCAACATTGATTTTCAGGATACCCTCCGCCGAAGTTGTCCATGCTTGTGCTGAGGTAAGATCTACTCTCTTTTCTGCATTTTTAGCTCGAAAGCCCCATTTTTAGCACTTTGGTGCATTATCCAAGCTTATTCCACTACTTCTTTTGCATTCGGCTTAACTCCTCTGAAAATCTGGTTGTTTCGGGCTTAAGATTTTTCTTTGGATCATATGTCAAAACGCAATTCCATCTAAGGAAAATCTATGAAAGAGAAAGTTTGTTCCTAACCCGGTGTGTGACCTGTGTCGGAAGGAAGTAAAATCGGCTGAACATATACTCTTGCTTTGCCCCTGGACAGAACTCGTATGGTTCGACCCTACCCTCAAAATCCGAAATTTATTAGAAGGGGTTACTCGAATCGATGCGTGGTTGACGAATTTCATCATCAATCCGAAGGAACTACCTGAATTTGAGGTTGTGGCAATTATTTTGTGGCATGTTTTGTTGCGCATACGCACATTCGCCACCTTACATACTGAAGGTGCTTAGCATTATTTCAAAAATCTTATATAAAGTGATTATATGATCACGTAAAAAGGTTCACATGCTTTAATTAAATTTTTTCCCTATATATTAAAAAGAATAAGGCACGAAAAGTCTCGAGCTACGCTTGTTGGGAGATTCATCTCGAACTTTTCTATATCATAAAAAAATTTCAAATATATATTCACGTGACACATGTATCCTTTATAATGATTTCATCGAAAAGCACCATTAAAAATCCTACATGGCAGCTGAGATGGATAAATGATGACAAACGGAGCTAACGTGACAGGTAAATTGTCAGACTACTCGATTCTTGACATCGGCTCATTCAAGAGACAAAAGCAAATGATTAGACATGGGAAACAATCGCACTCTGTCCAACCCATATCGACTTCATTAAGCGATAATTTCTCTTAGCCTCTGTGATTCCTAGAAACAGAAGACAACAGAAAGAAAGATGAAAGACATGAATTTGAGCTTCATTTGGTTATGATACAAACGACTATACTTGAGTAATTCATTCAGTAAAAAAAATCTAAAATAAAGAAGAAATAAAGAAAGAAAGAGGGGCTGGCTAAGCAGACTTTCCAAGTTCATCAACCTAGTTTAAAATGTCATAAATCTATTGTATTTTTGCTAATTCAGTTCTAAACCTTTTCAAATTTTGCCAATTGAGTCAATCTGATCAATTTTGATCGGAAATTGATAACGTGGACGCTGACTATCTTATGTGGTGGGGACGACGTTGACGTTGATGATTTTAAATAATACTTCAATGTTTTTAAAGAATTTTTCTATTTTTTTCATTCTTTTTTCCTTCTTCTCTACTTTCTTATTGTGGCCAGCGAGGGCTGGCACTCCCTTGCCCGGCCTCGCCAAGTTGGGGGAGGCCAGCCTTGCTCAGATCTAGGCTAGTCTGCCTCGCCCGCGGCCGGCGAGGTAGGTTGCCTGCAGCTGCAATGGCCTCCCCTAGACCTAGGCGAGGGCCAGATAGTAGGAACGCGGTGAGAAAGATAAAGAGAAAGAAGATAATAAATAAATAATTCAAAAATTATTAAAATATCATTTAAATTTTTCCACGTCAGCGTTAGCCATGCTACGTAGGACAGTCGTCATCCACGTTAGCAATTTTCCGGTCAAAATTGGCAGAATGAACTCAATTGGCAAAACGTGAAAAATATTTAGAACTGAATTGACAAAATTAAAAGGTTTATGACTAAATTGGCAAAAGTACAATTTTTTGAACAATTTTCCCAATCTTCTAAGATGGGCCGTGCCAAGAACAGCCGCCTCCATCGTCAAAACCGCTCAAACCCTCATTGCCACTCACTACAGCCCTTGGAGGGCACATTGCCGTCGCCTGAAACACCGCTGAAATCGCGATCACGTCCTCCAGCTACTCACCTCTAGTCACCATATGTGCTTTAGCCCTTGTCCTCTTCGCGCCATCGTCACCACTAGTCAACAGGGGTGTTGATAGGTCGGGTCGGGTCCGGCTTTGATGATACCCAACCTGATCCGAAACCTGCACGGTCGCGCTTGACCCGCCCTGAGACCCTGTTTAGCATATAAACCAAGAGAAGGGTCGGGTCGGGTCGGTCCGGATCCAGTTTCGTGGGTTGTGTTGTTTTTTTATTTTTGGGTGAAATGGGTGTCAAACCCATGCTTGAACACAGAACCAAAAACTCCTGCCCAACCCACACGATCCGCCATTCCTAGATCCAGAACTTATCAACAATCCCCACCAAAACATGGACAATCACAAAGGCGGAGGGGAATGCGGCGAGGCAGTTGTCGTCGAAGAGCTCGCAGGCCGTGATGCATATCATGGGCGGCGTGTGCTTGGCACCCTCGCCTAAGCCGGAGTACCTCATGGCCTTGTACATCCGTTCCGGCAACTGAGCTAGGATCGCCTTGTCCAGCTTCTGGTTGATCTCCGCGATTAGGGTCGCCCTGTACGTCTTTAGATCGAATGGCTTCGGCTTCGGCTTCAGCGATTGCATTGGGACGACCGCGGGTGCGGCGCATCGCATAGGGATTGTGGGTTTGAGGTTGAGGGGCTTCCTCGCGAGGTAGAGGGCAAGGGATGCGTGTAGCATCAACGAAAAGGCAATGGTTTCCTTGCTGCTACTGCTCCGAAGAAACCCTGATCTTTCCCTCCTTCGGTTTGATGATGGGTAAGCAATAGTTGGACGGAAATAAAGGAAGAGAACAACTTTTTATCAAGTCAAAAAGTCAATAGACTCTAGAAAATCTATTCATGTTACTTCTGGCCCTAATGGTGTCAAAGAAGCCAGCGCGAGCCCGGCCTGACGCTACACTGACGTGATAATACCCACACCTAAAAACACTATCCCAAGCAGACTAAGGCCTGATCCCAAAATACTC